GCCACCAGGTCCAGGACTCAAAGTGTGGTTGGCTACATGGGAGTTCAGTGACACAGCCATTACTCTAACTGCTGGTGGTCCCTCCTTCCGTCTTTTTCATGGAAGAAATAAATAAATAAAATTCAAAAACAATTTCATAGAGAAATGTCTTTCAGCCTAAATATATCTATTGGGTTGTCAGAAAGGTCATAATGCATAGAAAAAAATACATCCTGACTTTTCCAACAACCCAATACTTAAGTGTCTAGGCTCGTTAAGCAAAGAAGGAAGACAGAGCAGTGTACACATGACGACTCTGTGTAACTCTTTTACAGGAATACGCAGACAGTACCTAAACGCTGGTGATGTGAGCAGTGCTTTCTGAAGAAGAGACCACAGAAAGAGACAAGCAGTGCTTTCCTCTGCGAGAGGGGACCCGAGACAGAGCTGTGCGTCCGCTTCACGTTCGCTGCTCTTCTGTACGTGGGGCTTCTTACCTGCTCACGTGTGTTACCTTTTTCTCTTCTGTAATGTCAGTGAGTGCTATCTAATCTAGATAGTGGAATGATGGGCCTTTTAAAATTTATTTTCCTCCTTATACTTCTCCCATTTAATTTAAAAATCCCTACTGAATGTTTCATTGATTTCACAAGGTTCATGTCTTCTGATACATATTTCCGCTTCTTCATTTTCAGTGTAATAGGAAGTAATAAGGTAGGAGTAAGGCCAGATTAGGAGACATCAGAGACTCAAAAAGGGAAGGGAACATATGAATAGTCACAAAGGTGGAGATGAGACAGAAAAATTAGAAAACTAATGAGCTGGGTCTGGCCCTGTGCTCTGGCAGTTAAGTGCCGTGAATCAGGAATCAGATTCCATATGTGTGACTGGTTTGAATCCCGGCCCCAGTGGTTTGAAAAGCACAGTGGGATGGGGACCAGCAGATGATGTAATGGTTACACTGCTGGACTCCCATGTAGTCAACCATGGTTTGAGTCCCGGACCCGGGGGCTTAAAACTCATGCCATAAGTGCATGCCAAAGATCCCAAGAGAAGAATGGAGGAGAAGGGATTGCGGCATGGCCATCCCCCCAGGAGGTAATTTTTTTCTCTCTCTTGGTCTCTCTGGCAAGTGCACACGTCCTATTGTAAAAATCGCTTGGTCTCTCTGGCAAGTGCAAACGTCCTATAGTAAAAATCTCTCTCTAAAAAAAAAAAAGAAAAAAGAAAAAGAAAAGCACACTGGGCATGTGTGCTGTGCCTACGTATGTGCCCATCCAGGATCCTGATGGTATGGAGAAAAGAAGGAAAAAGGACTGCAACATGGCCACTCTCATGCAGGGGTGTGTTAGCTTTCTCGTGGCTGGGCAGGCAGAAGGAAGGAAGGAAGGAAGGAAAGAAAGAAGGAAGGCAGCCAGCCAGCCAGCCAGCCAGGAAAACCAGATGTACAAATTCTGAGAGAGAGAGTTCACCTAAGATGAGCAGTTACAAATTTGAAGTGAGATGGGTTATTTTCATCATGCTTTTCTCTAGCCATATTCAACCATTCAAGCAGGGGTAGGATAGAGAGAGAATTCATTGTAATAAAAAGTAGTGTTTGCCAGACAAGGGCAAAGGAGGAAGCGGGAAAGGAGGGAAGAAAGGGAGTTATGGGCAGTTACAGGGAAGTGAAGTGACTGAAGCAGGGTCAGGAAAAGCAAAGTGAAGATTCGAGAGAGGGGCAGGCAGGGTGGTGAGTTGAAAGGTGGTAAGAACAATCCATATCTCAGTGGAGCTGGAGGTGGCGAGCAGAGGAAGTGAGCTGAAAATGTGAGGTGGTGGTCAGAAAGGAGATGCTTACCTGAGTCAGCAGAGTTTGAACCCGTGGGTAGGTAGCTAGGAAAAAGAAGGAACAAGCCCATGGAGAAGGAGGTGGAGAGAAGCGGAAAGTGGAGGCAGGAGGTTAGAAGAATCCTCCCAGGAGATATGGAATCCTTCCCCAGTGATGTCATGAGCAGCAGAGAGAGACTGTGACAAAGAGCCCAATGCTAAGACGTTTTGAGGACTGAGCAGTAATGACCCAGGAATCTACAGACAACTATGACACAGGGAATAACACAGGACATCGTCCAGTGGCACAATCCTCAAAGTCATGCGTAAAGAGAAACTCATGAACCCAATAGCTAGGCTCGCTGGTGGGAGCAGCATGGGGCAGGAAATGGCCCCCTCTATAGGGCAGGAAGAATAGTTGTGCCTCAAGGACGGGGAATACTCCGCAATATTATTCACTATTCCCTCAAAGAAGGGGAAATAAGCTTCTGAAGCAAACTGGGAAGATAAATTTGCTCTGTTAAAAAAAAAAAAAAACTCTTATAACAATAACACTTGTGTGTGGCAACAAGTAAGTACACAGCATCATATTTTTAAATATATGAGTGTGGGGCCAGCCCTGTGGCATATTGCTTAAGAGAGTCTAACCCCACATGGTCAAGTATAGTTCAAATACTAGCCTTGATAGGACCAGCAGTTAGCATAATGGCTATGTTGCTGGACTCCCACGTAGTCAACTGTGGTTCGCATCCCGGACCCGATGGCTTAAAACTCATGCCAGGCGCGTGTGCGTGCGTGCCCAAGGTCCCGAGAGGAGAATGGAGGAGAAGGGATTGTGGCATGGCCATCCCCCCTGGGAGGTCATTTCTCGCTTTCTGTCTCTCTGCCTCTCTCTGTCTGTCTGGCGAGCACACGCGCCCTGTAGCAAAAACTTCTGAAAAAAAAAAAAATCCTAGCCCTGGTGACATTAGAAAATGCCAGGCACATAAGTGTGCACACAAAATCTTGAAAGGATGGAGAAATGGAGGTGAGGGGATAGCAGGGCAACCATGTCCCATCGAAGGTGCTTTCTCTTTCTTCTTCCCCCTCTCTCTCTAGCAATTCATTTACAACTAAAGTCAAAATCTAGCAACGCACCAGGATGCACTTACGATAAAAATCTAGAGGACAGGAGCAGGGAGTGTGTCCTTTCTAAGTCGTTTCTTGTAGAAACTATAACCACCACACGAGCATCATATTTTGATAAACTAATCGGGCCAGAACTTAAGAACAGTAAGTATAATCTCACTTACATTATAATCAAGAGCATTTTCAAAAAGACACAAAAATACAATGAGCAATAGGTTAATATATACCATGAATTTTCTCACATATTCCCTTAATGTTATTATTTCCTATTTCCTTGCTCAATTTAATGGAGGCTCAGAAGATTATGATATTCGCGTGAGAATTGTGAGCACTTCCCCAGACACTGGAGGGCTAAAACCTGGAAAAGGAGCAGGCTGGGATGACAGGTTGCTTCTGCCAAAGGGAAGTGAAAATAGCAATTATCAGCTGGGTACACCTCTTTTTGCCTGGAGCCTTTTAAAGCTTGACAATGTTTTTAAAGAATCCTGCTTAATTGTTTCCAAACACAAGTCACTTTAAAATATCAGACCAAAACTTCATCTTACTTAGGAGTAAAACTATTTACAACAGGTTCATTCCTATATTCATGACCCATATATAAAATATCCTGAATGTTTCTACCAAAATGAATGAATAATGAATGAATAAGGGGTTGGCCCTGTGGCCTAGTGCTTAAGGGAGCCAGTTCCAACATTGCTGACTAAGCAGTTCAAATCCTGGCCCCGGTGGCTTGAAACTCACAACATGTATGTGCAATTTTTCCCAACAGCATGGAGAAATGGAAAAGGGATTAAGGAGTGACTATGCTACTGGGGGATGCCTTCTCCCGCTACCCCTCTTTCTCTGCCTCTCTCTGGTGAGTGTATGCACCCTCTGATAATTATAAAACAAAACAAAACAAAACAAATCCACACATCAGACAGGCAAACCATGCCCTGGTGCCATCACAAAAACTGAAGCCAATGGAAATCACAAGTCTAATGAGCCCTCAGGTGTGCTCCGCAAGGACCCTTCAAGTGAGTGGCAGTCACATCGCTCCTGACCACTGTCTCCACACTTACCCCAAAGGCAGGCCAGCAGTTCCTACAGGACAGTTTTAGTGGGAGCTCAAGAAATCTCTGGCTGTAGCTTGGTGCCACACGATACAACTACTAAAGCTGAACTAAGCTTGAATACCTCAAATTAACACGTTTTTGAAATATAAAAGGACAGTGGGACGAGCAGTTTACGTAATGGCTATGTCACTGTACTCCCATGTAATTGACTGCAGTTCGAGTCCCAGACCTGGTGGCTGGAAACCACTTTTCATGTCCCATCCCCCCATTCCCTCCCACCGTCCAAACAAACAATAAAATGGAAAATTCTGCTTTGTTTTAACTGGACACCTCCGTGGCATTTTGAAAATCTCAGCTCAGTTTATTATTAATATCAAAGTAAGACTGGAGATACTGCATGGCAAACGTCCTAGCTCTCCCTTTGCATCACTCTCTGTTTATCAGTAATGCACACTGTAACCACTACAGGCCAGAAAAAGATAACATAATTCATGAGCCACAGCCCAAACGAAAAAGATGACTCATTGGGAGCCAAAACTGGAGTGAAAGAGCACAGTGATTTATTTTTCATTTCTACCTGGATCATCAAAACTAAAGAAAAAGCTAAACTGAGCTTAACTTAGAGAAATGCCATCATAAAGAGAGAGAATGCGCATGAAGAGTATGATGTAAGCCAAAGTGATTAATAACAATAATCATATATTCTTAGCTTTCCTTTTTTTTACCAGTTTTATTACCTTAAATTTTCCTATGATGTGTAATATGAAAATCGATTAAAATATCTCTATGAACTTATTTATCCCATTTGGGGTTGTCTCGGAACAAAATACATTATCAGGAGAGAATGTATTTTTCTCCAAATGTCAAATTTTATTACAGTCAACAGATAAAAATATAAAAAGGTCACTTCCCTAGAGACAAATAAATGCCACAAAGATTTTTAAATTACCTCATTCTGACACTAAATTCTATAAACAGTAGGGACAGCCACATTTTTATTAGAGACGTGAAAAATTTACTGTCACTTACGAGGATAGTTCCATAACTGAAAAGAAACTCTTCGGTAACAACTTGAGGTCGAAATACCTGTGTGATGAGAGTTCCCACAGATTAAATTCCAGAAGTCATGCACAATTTTAGCTCAAGAAAAAGAAAAAAGAAACACTGAAAAAGTTTTGTCTTATCTGAGTTGACATCTCCCAGCTCCAATTTACAAAGAAGGGAACCACCTTGTTTTATTTCATTATTTTTTTCCCTAATAGGATGGTACCTGTGAAGTTACCAGGTGAAGCAATACGGGCGTCATGGGGAGACACATCTTCAGCTGTTTCACTTGAACGGTGGATGGATGTTTCCGACCAGAAACATTAGCCAAGGCGTTAAGAATGTCACCTGTGAAGCACACCCCAGAACAGACACAGACATCAAAAATCGCAAATATTTAGGTGCTGATGGGCAAGGCTTGCATACTAATGAGCCTTCTAAGGTATGTAATCTCTAAATAAAAGAGGTGGGTAGAGGGCCAGGACATGGTGTTGTGGTTAAAGCACTGGGTCCTACGTGGCTGACTCCCCAAGTTGAGTCCTGAACCGGGCAGCTTGAAAAACACACTGAGCATGAGTGTGTGCATGTCTGGTATCCTGAGAGAAGAATAGAGGAGAAGGGACTGTGGCATGGTCATCCCCCCTGGGGGTGATTTCTCACTTTCCCCCTTCTCTGAGTCTCTCCCTGGTGAGATCACATGTCCTATGGCAAAATAAATAAATAAATAAATACATAAATAAATAAATAAAAGGAAGCAGACAGAAGTTGTGCCATTTTATTCAGAAATACAGAATTGAAATTATAACAGAAAGCTGTGGCCTCTGGGGACAGACTATGATATTCTGTATATACACTATCAGTTAACCTCTCTCATCTAGAAATTAAAAACAAAAAAAAATTTTTTTTGAGAGAGAGATTTTTTTGCTACAGGGCATATGCACTGCAATCCCTTCTCCTCCAATCTCCTCTCTCAGGATTTTGGGCATGCACATACATGTGCCCAGTGTGAGTTTTAAGCCACTGGGTCCAGGACTCAATCTGTGGTCGACTACGAGAGTCCAGCGATGTAAACGTTACACCATCCTCTGGTCTCTAAAAAGAAAATTTATAAATGGTAGAATGGTAGAATGGTGATTTTAGATTTTTTCCCCAAAATTCTAACCAAATGTGCTATTATTTTTGTAAATTGTAAAAACTGTAAGTAGGGCTGACCCTATAGCCTAGTAGTTAAGAAGGGCAGATTCCACATGTTCGAATCCCTAGGTATAGGTACATTAATGCCCCAAATTCCAACAGGATGGAGAAATGGAGAAGAAACTGTGGCATGACCATGTCCCATTGGGGATATTTTGTCCCTCCTAATCTTTCTCTGTCAAAGTCAAACACAAGCACTCTCTGGCAATTTTTTAAAAATATTGTAAGTGAATATGTCCAAAGTGGTGGCACAGGCAGACGGGAACTGCTGCACGGTGGCTGATGTCACACCCAAGGCCCAGGTCCCCTCCCCAGACCACCCTAGGCAGGCCAGGTGTAATGCCTGGGGTCCTAGTGAGGTGAGAGGCGGAGGCAGGAGGGTCACAACATGGCAAGACCCTGTCAAAAAATGCAGGGTCTTTTCTCTCATAAAAAGAAATTATAAAGCAAACTTGTGGTCTAGTGGGTAAGGAAGTCAGATCCCACATGGCCAGCAACAGTTCAAATCCCAGCCTCAGCAAGAAAAACATGCTGGGCATATCTGCATGTGTGTTCTAAATTCTGCAGAACAGAGAGATGGAGAAGTGACTGCAGTGTCCCCACACCCCACGGGGGGTGCTTTCTTCTTCCCTGTCTCTGTCTCTTTTCAGCTCTGGGAAGCACATATGCCCTCTGGTAAATAAATAAATAAATAAATAAATAAAATAAGTGAATAGATTATAGATCACAACCTTTAAAAAACAGAATAAAACAGGTGATACACTTACTAATAAATAAAACTTGTTTTGTGGACATTAGAATCTTAGCAAATCCTAAAGTAAGTACAGAAATAAGAAATGTAGCTTGACCAAGTGACAGCCTTCAGGTTAGAGATAAAAAAGGTTACAACCCAAAATAAATTTTGAGATGTTCTATTTTTAGTTATTAATAGCTCCTTCCCCTGGGGAAAATAAAAAATCTCCTATAGTAAGAAGAAAAACGTTTTATTGGTCAGTCACAAAGAACTTTCATTACTTTGATTTAATATTCTGAATTCATAAGTATATTTTACTACAATAGCAATGGATCAAATTTAACATTTTTAACATTTCTGGTTTATAGCTACATCTGCTGGAAAAGCATGGAATGGAGTTTATGCTACATGTGCACATTCCTTAAATTATTTTAATTTCTGCAAAGAACAAAATAAAAATATAGGTCCCTGTAGCTGTAATAACATGTTTCATTTATTAGATTTATTTTTTTTGGAGAGATTTTTGCTATAGGGTATGTGCGCTCGCCAGAGAGACAGAGAGAGACAGAAAGTGAGAAATCACGCCCCAGAGGGGATGGCCACGCCACAGTCCCTTCTCTTCTATTCTTCTCTCGGGATCTTGGGCATGTACACACACTGGCCCGGTGTGCGTTTAAACCACTGGCTCCAGGACTTGAATGGCAGTCGACTACATGGGAGTCCAGCCATTACGCTAACTGCTGGTTCCAGTGTTTATTAGATATTTTTAAAGATTTTTTTAAATCAAAGAAAAATTTAAACTTAGAACTTTAAACTAATATCAAAATTCTTTAACATCAAATTTTAATACTTTAGTTCTTTTAAATTTAAGATCTATGCTGACTAGCCACAGTGGCACAGCCATAACACAACACGTGATGCTGAGGCCACACGAGAGGGGCCCTGGTTCGTATCCTAGACACTCCCTCTAGACCCTGGGCACACTCACACACACATCCATAATCTTGCTGGCAGGGTGGACTGCAGCATGAAGACCCTATCGAGATTTTTTCCCTATCTCACTCGCTCTCTTACGTGCTCCCTTGTGGGGAAAAAAAATCAATAAACTCCAAGAATTAGATCTCTACACTTCAAGTTCTTTCAACAATACATAAGTTTGTAGCTCTACTTTCAAGGTAAAATCATTTAGGCAGTGAGAAATCTTAAGGAAAGTTACCCAAATAATAGCATGCATCTGGTTTTCAGCAATGAAGACACTTTTCATTTTCTCAAATTGCCAGAGAACTTCAGAAAACACCTCAGTGTAACCTTTAGCCTGATAGCTGTTATCATGTCAGTGAGGCAAAATAATTACAAAAACGAGTAAGTTAGATTTAAGTCTTACAAGTACACAATAAATGGTGTCATAGCACTAGCCTGTAGGAACAGACAGAAGGAAAAAAAAAAAAAAAAAGGAAGTGATGCCTCAAAACCACGTTGCAGAAAGGTAAGCATCAACAGGGCTTGAGGATGAGATTCCAGTTTACCCAGGATTCGTGGCAGTTCCTGCACGATGTGACGGATGAGAAGATCCAGGCATCTGGACAGGTATTCATTGCCACTTTGCCGCTCCTTGCCTGGAGTGGTCTTTCTGCTGTCTCTCTCGATGTACATCACCAGTCTACACACGGGAAAGTGCAAAGATTACCTCTCATGATAAAACATGCATAGCGTCTGTCCAAAACTGCCGCCAAGGCAAGTGTTTCCAGAGGGCACAGTCCCAATCATGCTGACATCCCTAACAACTTGTCAAGCACCATTTCTGCCATCGAAAACTCAAAACGTTTATGCAGAAAGAAAATAAGGTAACTCTGAATCTCTCTGCTGACGTATTACAAAATGATGCCCTGACTTCATTTGCCTTTGGCCAATGGGAAGAAGCAACATTCCCCAGATGATAAATGAAAGGCAAAGATGTCTGGAGAGAAGAGGGCTTTTGACATTTCAAAGATTTTAACAGAACCACAAGCTGACTGCATTGGCATTAAACTTTCTTGGAACACCAGGTAATTCACATGAATTCCAATTCTTCCAATAAACTATATACATAAATTCAAAGTATAGGTTTCATTTTAACATTGGGTTAATCTAAGTATCTAAATTTTACATGTCTTTGTCCATTAGGTTTTTGTTTTTGTTTGTTTCTTTGTTTTGTTTTGTTTTGTTTTTTTGTGAGAGATCTTTGCTAGAGGGAGTGTGCACTCTCTAGAGAGACAGAAAGTGAGAAATCACACCTCCAGGGAACAGGGGGCCATGCCACAATCCCTTCTCCTCTTGGGATTTTTGGGCATGCACACACATGTGTCGGCGTGAGTTTTAAGCTGCTGGGTCCAGGACTTGAACTGCGGTCCACTATGTTGGAGTCCAACAATGTAACCATTACACCATCTGCTGATCTCTGTCCACTAGTTGACTTCTCTTTCTTTCTTTCTTTCTTTCTTTTGATAGTTGCCTTTTAAAGGTAAATTATTTCTTCTTCAAACCACCTCAATATCTGAACCAAGTGTTTCCAACCCAGAATTAGGGAGCACATGAGAATATCGCCTTAAATATTTAGAACTGCTGAGCCAATCAGTCATTTTTCCAAGTTCCAGTCCCCTCATCTCTCTAAAGAACAGAAATTCTACTGATTTCATCATGGAAAAGCCCCTTTAGAGTCTTCTATCTATTGGTCACCATTTCTTTTGTTCTCATGCATTCCATCCAACTTTTACTTCTCAAAAAGAACTTCCACCTATTCCCACTATGAACTGAGAAGCGGTAGCTTTGTGCATAATGCACACATATAACGCATATTGAAATCTTGACAGCGTTTATGTGGCTCTCTCAATGGATTCATTCATGCATTTGCCTTTGTGTTTATCTCTATTTGGAGTCCTATTAGTGAATGCGTGAGGATGAAGCCTCAGGAAGTTAGCCTCAGGTCCACGTCAATCAGTTGGTATCCTCTGCTCTAGGCACTCACTACGGTCCCAGCTGCTCTAACAAATATGTGACCAGAAAAGAGTAGGGAAAAGGGAAGCCCACCTTTCCTTTCTAGTTCGCAAGATGAACGGTCCCTGCCTATCTCACCATCTACAGGACAGCTTTTCCAAAATGACAGATGATGACACTGAACTGAAACCTCCAAGATAAGAACTTCAAACACCCCCGACCATGCCTGCTCTTGTTCCTAAGAGCTTCCACCATGATATTCAAAACTTCTTGAATATCGGAACTTCTAACCGAATCCATTCATTCCCTCCCAATTCATTTGTCCTTTATTTTCTTCACTTTCTTCCTGAGTGGATCATATCCCACCACCTGTCACTTGGTAAGGTTCTTGTGGTGCCTTCTCTGCACTCACCCACCCCAATGAACTCCAGATGAATCTGACAGTCTACTTACATGCCTGCAGAGAAGGCTGCTGAGGTAAAGTACACGTGGGGCAGACGCACTCCATCCTGAATACGTAAGACTGCACTGTGATTACGTAAGACTGCGCTGTGAATACGCAATACTGCGCTGCGAATACGTAATGCTCCACTGCGAATACGTAATACTCTACTGCAAATACGTAATGCTCCACTGCGAATATGTAATACTGCACTGCGAATACATAATGCTCCACTGCAAATACGCAATACTCCACTGCAAATATGTAGTACTGCACTACGAAAATGTAGTACTGCACTGAGAATACGTAATGCTCCACTGCAAATATGTAATGCTCCTCTGTGAATACGTAATGCTCCACTGCAAATACGTAATAGTCTACTGTGAATACGTAATACTGCACTGTGAATACATAATACTCCACTGTGTATACGTACTGCTCCACTGCAAATAGGTAATACTGCACTGTGAGTAAGTAATACCCCACTGTGAATACATAATAGTCCACTGTGAATACGTAATACTGCACTGTGAATAGTAACAGCCCACTCTGAATACATAATAGTCCACTGTGAATACGTAATACTGTTCTGTGAATTGTCCCCGACCTGCGGGAACTTATCGGGCAGGGAAACTCGAGCGAGGGGGCAGAGGTCTGGAACCGGCGCAGCGTCTCAGCACGGGAGCGAAAGAAGTATCACAGCTCACACAGTGTCACAGCTCTTGATGATGTAAAGGTTTCGCTCATTTATTGAGGGCTAGAGCGCTTTCTTATATACACAAGGCAGAGGGAGGTAGGCGGGGTTTACAGCGGACCTTATTGAGGACCTGTCAGCTCTGTGTGAACCAGGGGGTCTGCATTCCTGGTGTCTGTGTCAAGGTCGCACCGGCCATTTTTAAGCAGTGAAGGTCATGGCAGCCATTTTGATGTGGGCGGCTCCCCACAGTGAATATGTAATACTGCACTGTGAATACGTAATACCCCACTGTGAATACGTAATACTCTACTGTGAATACGTAATACTGCACTGTGAATACTAATAGTCCACTCTGAATACATAATAGTCCACTGTGAATACGTAATACTGTACTGTGAATAGTAACAGTCCACTGTGAATACCTAATAGTCCACTGTGAATATGTAATAGTCCACTGTGAATAGTAACAGTCCACTCTGAATACGTAATAGTCCACTGTGAATACGTAATAGTCCACTGTGAATACATAATAGTCCACTGTGAATACGTAATAGTCCACTGTGAATACGTAATAGTCCACTGTGAATACATAATACTCCACTGTAAATACTAATATTGAACGGCCTAGGCCATACCAGATTCAAACTATATTTCCTTGGCCAACTTATTCCCATAGTCTATTTTGAAATGTTTCTTCTCTTTAAATCTCTAAATTCCACCCTATCATGAGTCATTATGCCTCCAATCCTTAAAAACAAACACAAATTGTTTAAAGAATTATTTTACTTTCCTTCTTTCTTTATTTTAATTTGACCAGAGAGGGACAGAGCAAGAAAGTCAGAAAGAAAGTAAGAAAGAAAGCAAGCTGCCAGGTCCGGGAATCGAACCATAGTCAGCGATGTGGGAATCCAGCGCCCTTAATCACCACACCACCTGCTGGACCCCAAAACAAACAAAAATTTTCAAAAAGAAAAAAATCAGAAAGCAACATACAAAAACCCCTCTCCTTCCTAATTTGCAGTATAAAGAAATGCCTTTGCATCTGTGCATCGCATCCTGGCCACATTTCCTCTTACCATAATGAATCTAGCCCTGCTTCCATCTATGCTTTGGATCTCATTCCCCTCCACCTTCTCAGAACCTTCCAACTGCCAAAGGCTTTCTTTTCTTTTATACATTCACTGTCTCCCATTCTATACAACACCTTTAGTGATCTTCCAGCATCTGCCCTTGATTGGTGTCACCTTAGCTTTTAGTAGGGTAATTGGATAGCATCGCCACCTGCAATCATTCCAGACTACTTTGCTTGCTAATTAGCTCACTTAAAAAAATTGTATGAACTTTCAAAAGTAAGTAAAATAGGATCTGGTAAGAACTACTAATATATATGTTTGTGACTGTAGCATTGGTGGAATATCATAACATTTTAGTTTGAAAGATCCTAGTGGTCATTTTATACAACTTTTGTCTATGTAAGAATCTTTGAAAATATTGTTTCTTTCTTTTTTTGGAAAGGTTTTTGCTATAGGGTGTGTGCGCTCACCAGAAAAACAGAGAGAAACAGAGAGACAGAAAGTGAGAAATCACACCCCGCCCAGGGGGGATGGCCACACCACAATCTCTTTTCCATTCTCCTTTTGGGATCTTGAGCACACATGCACAACATGCCAGTGTGAGTTTAAGCCACTGGGTCTGGGACTCGAACCGTGGTGGACTTCATGGCAATCCAGCAACATAGCCATTACGCTAACTACTGGTCCTGGAAATATACTTTTTTTTGCATTGACTTGGTAAGACTCCAGTAACTGGAGGTCATTTTCAATGTGTCTGCTACTCCAAAGTCTTTCATCTAATCTGATTAATTCTTAGATACTCAACATGCAAAATATCTTGTGGAGATAGGACTGTGACTGGGAAGGGTGTGACTCTTTTGGATAAATGTGCAATTTATCAACCAACACTTCCATGCGCATTGAATTCTATTATGACTACTTTGGGTAAGGAAAGAAACAAGTATGTCTGTGCTGTTTCTGAAGAGTCTGTATTCTGGGATCTCGGATGAGACATATAATGAACAAGTTCTTATTGCAGCAGATGAGTTAAGCACATTTGTTACGAATTATCAGTAACCATGCATGACCAAGAAAAGGGGATGTAGCTGCAAATGAAGTCAGTGGGCTTTTCTTGTTTCTTAGCAAAATTTTCCACATGAAAGAAGCCCTCCAAATGACATTTTTACTTAGAAGATACACAGGCCGTTTTTATTGAGGAGATGTGCAAAGCGAGTCCCTGCCTTTGTTGTATGTGTTCATTGACAAGCTTTAGAAGGATTTGTGATTTTGGTAGTTCTCTGCCAAGTCAGAAATGGATCCAAGGTAACATTGTGGACTCTTCATCTTAATGAGCACAAAGCAAAAATCATTAGTATTCAGTGCCTTCCCCAAAGCACGAATCCAAAGTATGTTTTCCCATTAGGAAACACTCCTTTTCTCTCACATGTCTCCAAGTGAAGGACGAGAGTGCTGACGGGCCCATGATAACGAGCTGA